AGCCAGTTCATAGCCCAACAGTGCCCTCTCACAAGTTAAGCAAAAATGAGGGTGATTTTATTGATGACAACCTTCAATACAGAAGAATTATTGGAAAGCTGCTATATCTAACCATTACAAGACCTGATATAAGTTTTGCTACACAACAGTTATCCCAATTCTTGGAGAAACCTACACACCTACACCTACAGGCTGCACATAGAGTCCTAAGGTACATTAAAAAGGCTCCAGGACAAGGCCTGTTCTTCCCAGCCACATCTTATCTGCACTTGAAAGCTTTCTCTGATTCAGACTGGGGTGCTTGTGTAGATTCAAGGAAATCAGTCACTGGTTTTTGTGTGTTTCTTGGCCAAGCTCTAATCTCTTGGAAGTCCAAAAAGCAAGTCACAGTGTCCAGGTCCTCTTCAGAAGCAGAGTACAGAGCTTTGGCAGCAGCTACTTGTGAGGTCCAATGGCTACTCTATTTGCTTGCTGAACTTGGATTACATCCTAAAGCACCAGCTGCCATCTATTGTGATAGTAAGTCTGCAATTGCCATCACTGAGAACCCTGTCTTTCATGAGAGAACTAAACATATTGAAATAGACTGTCATTTGGTCAGGGAGAAGCTTCACAAAGGTGTCATCAAACTCTTTAATGTGAAATCTGAAAACCAGTTAGCAGATGTTCTTACCAAGGCTCACTGTCCAACCTCTTTTCATAATTATGTCTCCAAGCTGGGATTGTTCAACTTGTACAATCCAGCTTGCGGGGGATCTCAGAGAGTACATCAACAACATCCAATAATAACAAAAGCAATGGAACAGTACTCAGCTTCAATGGAATAGTACTCTTCAGTTAGTTCAGTTAGTTAGCAGTTAGTTGGCAATTAATTTCCTTTATGTTTGTTCTATTATAGCTGCTTCATTTGTAATCCATCTTGTATAAGTACTGCTTCTTGACTTCATTCTCAATGATGAAAACTTAACCCGTTTCTAAACACGTACCCTCTTTCCCTTCCAATTTCGTAACAACCAAAATAGTCCAAAAATAAACCTATACATAAAGTCTATAAAAAACCGTAAAGTATCAGTGACCACAATATTACTAAAACATAAAACTGAAACCATATCTACACCATCCATGGCACAATTGTCTTCAAAGAACAACCACCCGCATTCAAACAATTTAAATATTCAGAATTGTTTGAAAAATCCAGTCTGTTCCAATTTAAATACTACTCCTCAATCTTTTCTTCTTAGAGCCCAGTGTAAGAAAAAAAAAAAAAAAAAACTCATCCAAGATCAATAACTCAAAGGGGACTCTCAGCATCATCTTCAGTGTAAAATTCCTGAAAAAAAAAAAGATATATAAAGATAATTATGGTGCCTTACCATCCTCAACTACAGCTCACACTTTCAATCTACACCTCCACACTCCATCCGCACAAGTTCTTGTACACTTGAAGCATTCAAAAAGACCGTCAACAGGTGTAATTTTCTTCTTACAACTGTAAGTCTTGCACAAAGTGTAGCACCAATCAGAACAACTCTCTATTCTTACAGTTTTAGCTGCAACCCAAAAACCTTCATACTGCAAACAGCATGGACATGTCTTAGAGAACAACTTTCTTAGTGAAATGTATTAAAAATTTATTAGTTTCAAAAAATATGTATAACAGTTTCTAACTAATAAAATAACCATTGAAAAAGCAATAAATGATAGTCACTTGAAGTGTTGTACGTTTTAAAGAATAAAATTTTTGTTTAACAATCCAACAACAATCAATTTTTATTAAAAAAAAATAAAACCAAAAGAAACACAAACTAATTGCCAGCAATATTGAGATTAAGTAGAGTTAAAAAAAAAATAAAACAGAAAAACAAACAAATATTAAAGTACTGTCAGTAAGAAATACTAAAAAGCACATAAGATTGCATTTTAACAGAATTTGTGCTCTGGAACCAACTAAACACCAATTAAAAAAATAACCTTCATCAATAAGTTGACCTCATCAAGAAATAAGCATTCTCTAATTTGCTTTTCCTAGATGTTCCTCCAAGAAATTTTGGTACTTTGTCTGTTCTGACTAAACCAACTCTTATAGCTCTTCTAGTGTGCAGTGGCATGGGCTAATTTGGCTTGCAAGTATGTATTGAGAAGATATTTTGGCCATAGTTATGCTCTGCAAGGTCTGTTAAGAATGCAAACCATGTGATAGTATGCTTATATAGGCTGCAGCCTGCCTGTAGTAGTCTGCCTGATAACCATAAAAATAGGATTTAGCGCATTTTAGAAGATAGAAACACAGTCCACGAAACCTACATGTAGTAGTCTGCCTCTTTTCATGATTATGCTCTTTTATTTATTTCTTTGTTTCTTTACAGCCGTTACTGTTCTTCTGCCTCCTCTTCCGCCGCAATGAAAATTCAAGAATGGTTCTTCTGCAACTTTGAGCCAGGAGGAATCAAAGGTTTAACACAATGACTCTTGATAAGATTAATGTTTCGACCTTCAGGTAATATGTAGGTTCTGACTAATCATAAACTTTTAGCTTTTTTGGTATAATAATCTGGACGAATGTCTACAATGACTACATTTTCAGGTTGTGGAAATGAGACATGTGGTTCTCAGAGAAACAACGAAGAAGAAGGAGATGGACTGCGAACTACTGCTAGTTGTAACGGATTTATAGAGGAAGTATGCAGCATTTAGACTTCTAAAAAGGCTACAACATTAATGAAGAAAATAATGATCGTTTCATCGGATACTGAAACGCCACAAGCAAAGAATAGGCTGCTTCAGATTTAAATTTCATTACAAATTTTACAATTTAATTAGAAATGAATTTGTATTTTAATTGTATTCAAATTTAAAATATTGTATTTAATGTTTTGCACGGTACACATTGTGTGATTAATTTGGAACAATTTTCAATGAGCAAGCATGCAACCTGAAGATCAAAGCAATTAAGTTTTATATCATCTATGTTTGGGGAATCTAAAAGATAAAAGCAATTAAGTTTTAAATCAATTAATTTGGAGATTAACTTTAACCTGAAGATAAAAGCTGAAACTTCACAAAGAAAGATTTCAAAACGACGTCACATTGGCTAGGCGGGAAAACTCACAAATCTGATTGGCCAATAAGTTATGGCTTTATTATTATTATTATTATTATTATTATTATTATTATTATTATTATTATTATTATTATTATTGTTGTTGTTGTTGTTATCGTTATTATTGTTATTGTTATTGTTATTGTTATTCTTATTCTTATTCTTATTCTTATTCTTATTATTAGTTATTTTTATTCTTATTATTATTATTATTATTATCTTTTTCCTTTTTCCTCCCCTTATACATACAAATTTGTTATTATTATTATTATTATTATTATTATTATTGTTGTTGTTGTTGTTGTTGTTGTTGTTGTTGTTGTTATTATTATCTTTGTTGTAGAAATGTAAAAATGATATATAGGATGATTGTATTTAATAAAATAGAAAATTAGAGAAATGAAAAACTGGAGGAATGGAGAAATGAAAAATTGGAAGAATAGAGAAGGAAAACTGGAGAAATGGAGAAATGAAAAATTGGAAATGAAAAAACAGATAAATGAAGTAAACGACCCCTAAATCTTAAGAAGCTTTTTAGGCTTAACACTCAAAGGGTTAGTTTGACTACTGATACCTGGACCTCTGTGCATAGGATTAATTATATGTGCATTACAACACATTTCATAGATGATCAGTGGAAGCTAAATAAGAAAATCATATCCTTTGTCCCTATTTCTTCTCACAAGGGGGAGCATGTAGCTAAGGTATTAAAGAGCTGTTTGATTGAGTGGGGAATTAGAAATGTCTTTATTGTCACAATAGATAATGCATCTTCCAATGATACTGCTATGGTTTTTTTTAGAAGCAAATTGTTTTCTTGGGGTACAACCCCTGTTAGGAGTAAGTACATGCACATGAGATGCATAGATTGGTTAAAATTTGCTAATAATGCTATTAAGAGGGTTAGGGATACTGTTAGACGTGTCAAGAACTCACCTGCAATGTTCAAAACATTCAGAGATCTTGCTAATCTGATTGGGGTGAAAGCAAAATGTGCTTTACAGCTAGATGTTCCAAAAAGATGGAACATCACCTACATGATGCTTAACACTGGCATACAATACAAGAAGGTGTTTGAGGCATATGAGGAGAATGATCCCTCATTTTCTGTTGATCTAGCTGATTCTGTTCCTTCTTTTCTTGATTGGTGTTTTGTTGAAAGCTTGGTAATTCTGCTCAAAAGCTTTTACAGTGAGAATATTTGGTTCTCTATGTCACCTCTAACAGTTTCTTCAGTGAGATTTATGATTTGAGTTGCATGTTGGATGACATGGTTGGAGCTAATGGTTTTGAAAAGGTAATTAATAAATTTACCTTGTTTGTATTTTTTTTAAAATAATCTAATTATGTGATTAATTTGATTTCTGATTATGTGTTTGCCTGTTTGGTATTTCATTGTTTTCTTAGGCAATTGGATAAATGAAAACTAAATTTGAAAATTATTGGGGGAATCTTGAAAAAAAATGAATTTCTAGATCTTCTTTGCCAATATCTTAGACCCAGGAGATAAATTGAAATATATGGCATACCAGTTTGTCCAACTATATGGTGAACAGAAGGGGAAGTAGTGTTTCCAGTTTGTCCAACTATATGGTGAACTGAAGGGGAAGTAGTGTTTAGGAAAGATCCAAGCTGCTATAGTAGAATTGTATAGTGACTATGCAGCCACCTACTATGTCAATGTGCAACAATTTGAATCATATTATGGTAGCCAACCAGATGTGCAACCTGTCCAGTCTCATACCACAATTGGTATACCGCAGTCTAGGTTAAAAAGCCAACTCAAAAGACAAAGAATGGAGGCTGGTGGAAGCAATAAAGAAACAAAGCTTAAAGTGTATTTAAGTGAAAAAATTATGGAGGACAATCATGACTTTGATATTCTTAGGTGGTGGAAAATAGTGAGAGATTTCTCACTCTCTCTAAAATGGCAAGGGATGTGCTAGCAGTTCCTATATCCACTGTTGCCTCAGAAAGTGCATTTAGTACTAGTGGAAGGGTATTAGATGCATATAGGAGTTCCTTAACTCCTAAAATTGTAGAAGCCCTAGTATGTGCACAAGACTGGTTGAGGTTACCAAATCAACCAGTATAAATCGAAGAAAATATTGATGGTGTTTAAAGGCTTGAACAAGGTAACTTAGAGTGTTAGATTAATACATTCTATTTTTACTTTATAAGTTTTAACTGTGATTCTTTTTTAATTTATTTCTTTTTATTTGCAGAGTTTGCCACTAGAAGTACAGGACCTGGGACTGCTGGTTCTTCCCTTCCTACCATTCCTGTAATATATTATTTTTGATTATTTCAACTTGCAGTCTTTCATTTATTTTTGATTATTTCAACTTGCAGTCCTTCATTCCAATTTTCTGTGAAATGTGAAATGTGAATGACTGAATTTGATTTGTGATTCACTGAAGAAAACTGGCAAGTGAAAACTGGGACACTGTGGGACAATGACTTGGCAACAATTCAATTGTTACTGCCTTTGATTCCTTTGATCCTTTCTATCATCTTATCAGCCATCAGGTATAACTGTATCAGATCACTAAGGTTTTAGCCTTTTACCTTGATTAATTGAATCAATAGTGCATGGGTCTTATAGTCATCTAGTTTGGACATCTGGTATATAACTCTCCCTTATTCTCATTTTGTTTTTACTCATTAGTAGTTCAATAAATACTAATTCCAACTATTGTCAATGACTATGATGATGCTTCCACCATTTGTCCGAAATGGCTTTGGGTTGGTATGTTGCTCATTAGTTTTGAGTCCTATTCCAAAACTGAAGTAGCAATTTGCCCCATCCTACCTTGACATGAAAACATAGCAATTTGAGCATTTTTTCCTTTTTCAGCAAAACTGTGATTGCGAAAGTGTGAATGAGTGAATCTGTGAAGGTTTAACTTGCACTGCCATATATATTTAACTTGTGTTTTAACTTTGCACAGGAAGATGATGATTGTTGAATGCTGATTGTTGGTTCATGTCTGTCATTTGGGCATTTAACTTGTAACTTTTAACGTTTAAGTTGTAACTTGGACTGACTTGAAACTTGAAACTTGTAACTTTAAATTTGAATGTTGATCTTGACTTGTAAGTTGGAACTTATAACTTTTAAGTTGTAATTTGGACACATTTGGTATTTTGGTAATGTAAATTTGTAAATTGTAAGTTGTAGCTTGTAATTTGAAGCATTACTAAATATGTAAGTTTTAAGTGAAGTTTATAGTTTTAGTTTTTATTTATTTATTTATTTATTTATTTATTTATTTAAATCCGAATATATCCGAAATCCGATTTTAAACTGTTTGAACCTGACATTTCAAAATTCAAATGGATTACCTTCTAAAAATAACGGATATGATTTAAAAATTACAATCTGAAAATCGAACGGATAGGCAGTTTCAAAATTCGAACCACCCGAACCCGTTTGATGCACAGAGCTATGGTTATGTATGACCCTATAATGGAAACAAAGGTTTTAAAAATACAAAAATAAAAAACAGGCAATTCATCCTAATATAATGACATCAAAGCACCAATATGAAAAACAAAAAAAATCAAAACAAAAATTTAAAAGTATTCATCCAAACTTAAAAATTAAATTACTAATAAGATGGAATGGTATCCATTTTTAATTAGTAATGAAATTTAATTGAAGGGATAATCAAATTCATAGTTGTGTTTTAAAAAATTGTCAACCAATCACTAACTATGATTTTGATTCTCATTCCTAATATGAAAGACTCATGAACCAAACACACCCAAAATTATTCTAGATTAGTTATGAGACAATAGTTACTTTCGTTCTCAATTGTGACATTATAATTTAATCGTTTATAACATTATTTATTTTATCGCTTATACCATTATTTAATTATTTTACTTTTTATAACTTTTAGAATGAGAGGAATAGTGAGTTTTAGCCGCAAAAAATGGCCTGGTTTGTTGCTTGAACGATCATCATCTAGCGGAAACTCTTGTCGTTAAGGAAGCTCTCTCGTGGATTAAGGAAAGAGGTTTTACAAAGGTCTTCGACACAACATGCCACAGACTCTGCATGTGGCACATCATGACAAAGGTAAGCGAAAAGGTGGGCCAACACTAATAAAGAATGAAAATTTTTTTGAAAAGCTTAAACACTGTGGGGTGGAATTAGACCTAAACAATTGATGAGTTTGAAAGAGGATGACAAACAGTTATGGAGATACGCGAATTGGTTGAACATACATAGTTTAAGCACTTATTTGAGATACGTGCATGTTGGATATATACCAACATTGTTCAGCGATGTGTTTATGGGAGGCTTAATCTGAACAACCTCACTTTCTGTGTCGGAAAATAGCGTATTCAATAATTGCACTACCAACATATAAGTTTAACGGAGTTCTTCATACACTTTGAAAAAGAAATAGACAAACAATGATACAAACAAGCGCTACTAAACGCAGACTGTGATGACAAATTCCCAACAATGAAAACGCCTTTATTGATGGAACGACAAGCTGGAGTCGTGTATACAATTGTTGTGTTTTATGATGTCCAAAAGAAGATATATGAACGGTGCTTCTCATCCCGAGTCTTGAAGAAGATGGATACAAACCAACTTTTCTGATCGATGACGAAAACAAGGGGACATATTCTGTGAAGTATGTTGGGAAAAATACGGTCAAAGCTGAAGCCCTTTTCCTTGTCCTAATTTCATGGGTGTTAATGGTTGCTATCCACACAATTTGTGTGAACGTGGAATGAGGAAACAAAGTCAAGGTCTAAGTTTCCTACTTTTACGTGAATGCATGGCTGTGTTTAGAGCTCAATGAGTATAAAAGCTATGTCCTTCAGTATTCATAAAGCACTCAAAAAGAAAGTTTCCTTTTTTGGCTTTTCTTCACTTTGTGCATACCCTCTAGTCTGAGCATATATATAGTCAGGTTCGCCTACGTGGTTGCTAGTGCAAGCTATCCGTAGTAGGTCTGTGTAGCCCGTCGAAAGCGTGCCAGAGTTCTAACTGCACCGTTACCGGGCAAATAACGATTTTAAGGTAGTGTTATTATAACACGACACAGATTTCCCTTCTACCATACACCCGTTGTGTCCGTGCTTCTTAAAAGGTTTTCAGCCCGCGCGTTGACGTTGCGAATATTCTCCAATAGTTAAAAGCGTTATTTTAGTAACAGTCAACTACTCGAATCATGAAGTAGATTATAATAATTTTCTGGCGACATGATGGTGTAGCAACAACAGAGATTAGCAATGGAAGGCAGCAGCTTCATAAAGAACAATACTGGTGAAGCACACTGTTTCGGCTTATGTGTAACCTTTAAGCAAGGGAGTACAACAAAAATAATTATTGGGTTCATATCGGAGTTTTGACCATACTCCGATGAGGTTTGCCTTCTCATATTTTAATATGACACATGCATATTTATATGATAATAGACTATCATATGCAAATTATTATTTTGAGCACAAGTAGTCATATATTATTGGGCATTGACCATATTCCCTTAAAATTTTCATAATAGCATAATTTAGAAGATGGTTTGCCTATATCTTTGCATCCATTCGATTATTATGTTTTGAGAGCATTTGAAACGTGAAATATATATATATATATATATATATATATATATATATATATATATATATATATATATATATATATATATATATATATATATATATATATATATATATTGTGACAAGCATTTTAGAAATCATGCTTTTATATTTTATATGGTGAGTGCTTTGAATATTATAGAGAAAATTAATAGTGGTGTACACAAAGATAAGTGAATTATTATTCACATGTATGAGCTTTATGCATTTGTTGTGTTAGAAGCGTTGATTTAACACTACTGCTAAGTGATTAAATCATCAATATGATATAAAGCTTATAAATTGTGTACTTATGCACATGTCAATTTACAACATTATGTGTTATTATTGTGGATATGTTACAAACTTTGCACTATTTGATGAGATACACACTATATTACAGTCACATAATCTTAAATATTTAAATTGTGTACTGGGTTTAATTTCAAAGGCTTTACTCACATTTATGGTGGAAGCATGGAAAAGTCATCGTTCTTGAATACTCTGTCTAGGAAGATAGTTTTTAAGAAAACTTCGGTTTCACCACTCGACCTGGGAGTTTTTAAGAAGTAGGGTGTTGATCATGCAGGCTAGTTAGAGCGCCATTTGATCTTCACTTGAAATGAGGTTGACCTCCATATATTGTTAAACAATCAAAGCCTTGCAATAGAAATTGTTGAAGTACTGCAATAGTAATATTGATGTGCATCCTATGAATGCTTTATATGAGTTTTAATTTCCTCAAGGGAATGGAAAATTGAGCAAGTGGCAACTATGAAGTCTCATTGTTGAGAGATATTTCCGAATAAATATGAGCTCGAACATATTCCTTGTGTATGAGATTAATTTCTTATAAGAATATGATGTCAAATTTGTGATTATGTTGTTCAACTTGATGTAGCATGTGGACAACATTATTTCTATGGCTTACTAACAATGAGCATTTGTATATATATTATTTAAACTCTTGGTTGAGTCATATTGAAATATACCTATAATTCCTAGTTAAAGGGTAATTGTGATCAATTGAGATAACCAAGTTTGTTGAAATATATTCAACTGTTGAGTATGTATCAGGCAGAGTGCGAAGCTTATATAATGCTCCACAAAGCAAATCGGCAAAACTCAGTCTACAAAGGAGCTAATGTTGGGCACCAAAGATCAATCTGGGTAAGAGATCAAATACATTTGGAAAAAATAAAATAAAATTTGTAAGTGTTGCATTGTGGGGGTAATTAACTCCTTATATTTTCATCAAAATTTTCTCTGTGGTATTGAGAATAATGATGAAAGAGAATGTTTCATGTTAAGCATGAAAATCTCAAGAGATTATTTACGAGTAAACGAAGTACTCGTCAAAGTGCATGTAAGTTTGATCAAGAGAATCAACTTACTTGAGGGCTAATTATGAGGATTAGTCGCTGAATCATTGGAAGAACTTAAAGTCCAAGTGGTAATGAATTCGTAGTGGGTCCCACTTCTGTGGTCAAACGAAGCCATGAAAAGAGTTACAAAATAGTACACTAGTTGGTCATTCCTACAGTGTGTGTACTTGTGAGGTTGAGCCACAGCTCTTAATGAATTCATAACTCTTTGAGAAAGGGTGGTTTGTTGAGACAAACATAATGAATTCACCGCACAATGACATGAGTACAAAGTGTTCTTGGTGACTTATACTCAATTGGGGTGGTCTATGTTGAGGTAAACCTAAAGAGATCC